ATTTTTCTCTTTATGGAGGCAGACTTTACTATTAAAAGCATCCTGCCTAACCATTACAAACGTATTGAAGACAACAGACAAGTTGTGATAGGACCATGTACTGATGATGACTCCCTGCACTGGGCGCTTGGGCGTTGGTTTCTAAACAAGGACACAGAGATAAGCTCGCGTTTAGCTGCCCTTCCTCAATATGAGAGGCTAGCACTTTGTATACAAAATGATTATATTATTCAGTTGTGCGCAAAAAACGAAGTCCATGTTCATAAACTACAGCAAAAGGACGTAGAAATATGTGATCTGAAGAACGAAATTGAGATGAAGGATGTAAGAATTAAAGAAATCACAGAAAGAAACAATCAGAATAAAGAACAGATCCGTCGTCAAGAAGTAAAAGTAAAAAACAGTGGTGCAGAACTAAAAAATAGAAAAATGTATAATGAAGAAAAAAATCGTGAACAGCTATCAGAAACGGAGAAGAGGGTAGATGAGAGAAAAAAAGAAATACAAGATATGACCTGCAGAATTCTTCGAAAGAAAATACAAGAAAAACAAGAAAAAATATATCGATTAGAAAAAGAAAATGAGAACATCCGAAATTATATATACGATCTTGCGCTGAAAATATCAGAAAGTCGTGAGGTATCCCACAAACATCAGGCTGCTTTAAACTCCATAACCGCTATGAATCAACAGGTGATGGATCTGGAAGAAAGACTGAGAAAAGACAATAAAGAGGTAAGTAGATAATCGCGCAAAGGCTTATTGTTGTGGCATGTGGTCTTAGACCCCATTCCTAAAGATAAGATCGATCCAACTAGATCGACCTAAATATCTGGGGGTTTACGCTAAATAGCTGTCAGCCGAGCCGGCACTAAAGTTAATTATCCCTGTACAGCTTGTAGTAGGCGGGACGGACATTTAAGCCGGGTTATCTGACAGTAATCTAGTGAGACTCCCCACGGGGATAGATCGATCTAAAACCTATGGGAATGCGCCCTAAGATTTGTTAAGTTGAGGATCTCTCTCTCTCTCTCTCTCTCTCTCTCTCTCTCTCGCTCGCATAATAATTTTGTGTACTTTTCGTCAACGCAGTGTCATAAATGCAGAGCCAGAGGCTTCTGTAAAAAATGAATATGTGACCCTGGTAGCCTGTGGTAGGAATAGGGCGTTTTGTTAAAAAGAAACGTTTTCGCTGCATTCCAATACATTGGCGTGTGTGAAAGCAATTGTATGTACTGGTACGTGCTTGTGTGCGTGCCGGTGAAACGTGACAGAGAGTCCCCCATACCAGAGAGTCCGCTTCCCATTCATTTGTACAGGTAAGCCTCGCTCTACGGCTGTTTCACGATCAGAGTAAACAATTAAATGTGGTTAATGTTACAAATGTCTGATAAATTTACAATTTATGATTGGAGATTGCTGATAGACTGATATCAAAGACACTGTTCATAGGAGCAAAATAAAAAAGAATTATAATAATCGGACTACAATTTAAAAAAAAAAAAGGCCAATTATGTGTCCAAAAAGTACCTATTTCTAGGTGTTACGATGGGTCATTTGCAACTTAGGTCATAAATATGATGCACTAGCTCTTTATGTCAATGATTTATGGTGAATATGATAATGGTATATAATTCCCACAACATATGTCTTCTCTTCTAGCAGGTTCTTCCAAAGATATGTTCTGAGTAAAATTTATTTTAACCATTTTGCTGAAACAGGCTTTTGTACACATTTTACTTATTTTTTTAATGCGATGAAAAACATATTTGATAAGGCCAAATATTAATTTGAAATCACCCACGTGATAATAAGATGAATTTACCATGTTATGGCTTAAACATAAGAAAGGAGCTGTGGAAATGTAACCATTATTATTAATGTTATGGTATTTATAATCATGAGCCCCTTGGTGTCTCTTACTTTTTGTAATGTCCGTAAGCCCCCCCTATCTATTTTATTTAGGAATCACAGAATATTCTGTCTGATTTTATTATTCTATAATGTCTACACTGACATTTATTTTGCAGGAAGAAAATAGCACATAACCGCTTATTATGAAAAGATATGCACACATTTGATGCAAAATATTGTTTTCAGACAATATAAAATGCATTCTTGTCTTATGATGTTTAGAAAAAAACATCGTATATAAATATATATTCGATAAAGTGATACTGATTAATTATAGTCAGGCAAGAAATTTTGCAAAGAAATAATATCAGTAAAGATGCTACTCTTTGCATTCAAAATGAACAATATTGGCTTGAATATACTGTCAAATATAGTTAATTGCAAAATAATAAATTGTTTATGGATTAATATTCTATGGATTAATGTATATGATATTTTTTGAGGGGGTACGAACACTCCAATACATGAATAATTAACAGTACATTTATTATACTCTCAGTGAATGAAGTATCAAATATGGATGACAATAAACAAAAAGCCAAACAGAAAAAGAAAAAGGGATCCTGAATATTTTACTGTCAGCAAAAAATAATTTTGAAAAAAAAAAAAGACGTCAAAGAGCTAATATCCGTAAAGATGCTAATAATCTTGCTGAAGCACGTAAGGAAGACGTTAAAAGAACGTAACATAGCATAGAAGC